CATCCTTAAATGTACACAGATAAATCTACCAGGAGAATTTCCCTGCTTCACATGAAAAGTAAACTCTCATTTTATGTATCCTGAGAAATTCAGCCGACTTTGCAAAGTCCGGGGAATGCATAGGGTCAAGCTATCTGGGCAGAGGCTGGACAAGAAAAAGGAAGAAAAGGCACAAAAGCAAGGCCGTGGAGCATGCGTGTAGTTCCAGCTACTTGGGAGGCTGAGGCAGGAGGATCACCTGAGCCCAGGAGTTCAAGGTTGCAGTGAGCTATGATCATGCCACTGCACTCCACCCTGGGCAACAGAGCAATACCCTGTCTCTAAAAAAAAAAAAAAAATAGTAATAATTAAAAATTAAAAAAAAAGAAAAACCAAGTTGCTATAAATTACCTTCCTAACTACACAAGTGGGATCTTGAGCCGAGGTTGCTGGGAGTTTATTGGAGCCAGAGAACACAGACTCTAGGGGCGCCTAATTGGAGTCACGCTCCATGGTAGCTGCGGTGCTTTAAATGGATCAGCTTGTAAGTGGGGCGCCGTCTGACGGAGCCCTTCTATTCTGTCCCAAGAAGGGCATCAGATCTGTGGCTATCTGACACTGCACAGTGTAATCTCAATCTCTTGGAGATCATTGCTCTCGCCACTTCGTTTTAGATGTCTACAGAATTAATAATTAAGCTGGTCCCAGAATGACAGTGCTTCAATCTGTCTGTCTCCCCATTATGGGAGAAAAAGGATTTCTGTTGAGATAATGATAGTTGACACACAGTATTTCAATTAATCTTGAGATAACAAATGCCATGCTCCAAATGTTTTAATGTTTAATTATGAATTTTAACAGGTTTGCTCCTAAATCTCAAAATATGGAAAGGACCTCATGTAACTAAATATTTTGATGACCAAGCTTTCTGGAAGGTAAGATTTTTCACCTATCAACATGATAGGTTTTGAGTGCATGAACTTAAAAAGGTATCTGGGGATATCTGTTAACTTGGTGTTTATGAAAATAAAACAAAAATGAACAAAAATGAAGTAGGGAGCACTGGGGGAGGAGCAAATCCATGATATGTATGTGTGTGCACGTGTGCATGTGTGCACGCATGTGCCTGTGTGTGTGCACGTGTGTATGTGTGTTGGTGGGGAGCAGGAGGTGGTGAGGGTTACCATTTCTCTGATGCCTCAAGTCACTGAGGGTCAGCAAGGAGAGAGCTGCCACTGGCCACACTTCCCCTCCCCATCTGGAGTCTTCCAAGCGGGCAAACAGTTTGACGTGAAGGCAACAGAACCTCAAAGTGCAAAGGCCAGAAACATGACTTGTCCAGGGTCTCACGGTGAATGAGCGGCTGAGTGAGTCTAGAACACAGCTCTTGATAAATTATAACTAGTGGACACAGCAAACTTGTAGTATAGGAGACTGGGGTCACTTAGCAAAGGGACATAGGGCTCAAACAACTCAGCTGCTGCTGAGGGTCTCTGTGTTACACTGTAGTGTTTATTGTCCTGCTGGGCTAGAAAGAAGGTCAGGGCTCCTTCCCTGTCACCCCACTGCCCTCCCTTTGACGTACACTCCTAGTTCCCAAAGCACGCTTAGGGCATCCTCCAGCCCACGCCGCGGGTAGGCTGGGCGAGCAGGGATCAGCGTTGCCAAGGGAAGTTGGGGCTGACAGAGGTCAAGCTAATGCCCAGCGTCATCGTACCTTTGTGAGTGGCAGCGACAAGACCGGGAACCAGGTCTTCCCCACCCAGCATCCAAGATGTTGACCACTGAAGGGACAGAGAACCAGCCTTATTATGGGCCTGGGCACATGTGCCTGCAGGGGCCAAGCAGACAGAACCTACCTCTCTTTTCCCTTCTCCTTCCTCTCCTTTTTCTCCTTTCACTCGTCCTCTTTTTCCTTGTCCTCTTCCCCTTCAAACAGCTTTATTGAGGTGTAATCGACATACACTGAATTGTGCATATTCAAAGTATATGATTTGATGTTTTAACGTTTGTACACCCATGAGACCATCACCACAATAAAGACAAGGAACATATCCATCATTTCAAACATTCTCTCGTGCCCCCTAGAAATTGTTGCCTCCCATGTGTACCTGGTCCCATCCCCAGGCAACCAACCCCTGAACTACTTTCTGTCCCTAAAGATTAGTTTGCATTTTCTATAAGTTTATATAAATGGAATCATACAGGATGTACTCTCTTTTATGTGGCTTCTTTTGCTCAGCCATTTAACTATTCTGAGAGTCGTCCATGTTGTTGCATGTAACCTACCTTACCTTACATCAGCTTCTCCGTACAGCCATTGGTCCTTGGCTTCTCCCAACGGCCAGTCCTTCCCAGTCCCTTGCAAGTATTCTTGCCCCTTTAGCAGAATTGGGGTAATCCAGCAAAAGGACTCAGGAAACTGTTTTAATCCATTCATTCATTCATTCATTCAAGTATTTATTGAGCAACTACTATATACCAAGCACTATGATAATCAACCAAGGATACCACAAACAGGACAAATATCCAGCTCAACTATTTGAGTTGCAATACATATCTGCTGAATAAATGAAGGGAATCTGAGGAACCCCATCTAACACTAGCCACTGCAGCAACAGGTGAGACAGAACAGGAAGAACTGATTCCAGGCTCTGTAATGCATCACATAGGCAAGTCCCTGGACTTCTCTCACTGGTAAAGCAAGAACAGTTGTCTTCATTCTACCTCACTGGGTTGTTTTAAAGATCAAATGAGGTAATAATGTCTGTTAACAACATTATATAACATGCAAACCACCACATGAATGTGGAAGTATATTACTAGGGGTTTAGCCAACCACGAAGGAATGTGTAAGCATAATAGCCGTCATCTTGCAAGCCTGCTGTTCCTGATTCTGTGCTAGGTGCGTTTCAGCATTATCTGATTCTATCCTCACACCACTCCGGCATGAGAGTAAGTATCCCGATCTTAAACATGAGGAAATTGAGGCCTACAGAGATTAAGGAACTTGTCCAAAATGACAGAACTAGTACAGGGGACAGGAATTTGAATTGATGTCTGTTTGGCTCCAAAGATACCCTACGTACGTATGTCTTGTGTGCAGCTGCGGGAGAACAGTTATCCCACCCGCCCCACCTCCCAGCAATCTTCTGGTTTATTTCCCTGCACCTCAGTACAGCCATCCATGCCGCAGTCTACCACTTTCAGCCTGCGTTTGAAACCCAAATATCCATTAAAGAGGCGAGGATGCAAACTTGCAAAGCTGATAAATCCAGGGGTGATTTTTTTGGTAATCCATCCAAGGCATTTTAGATATGATTGAATTCCCTTATTGCATTTCGTAGAACTGACTGCTAGGGTTGGAAGGGACGTTGAAGCCAGCTCGGCCATCCCTTCACTGGTTGCCCAGACTATGCCTGGCACTCCGAGGGAGGGGGCACTCATCACTCCCCAAGGGCACCCATTTCATCCTTGGATAGTTTATTAAAATGCACTCGTTGGCTAATTCATTCCGCTAAATGTATTACCTAATCTGTGACAGACACTGTGCGACGTGCTGGGGAGACAAATGTAAATACAGCATAGTTCTGGGATTCAAGGAGCCACACGTACTGATCTAACTCCCCATAGTTTACGGTGATCCTCACCCAGATTCTGATTTATAAAAATTCAGTTTATAACACAATTTTTCACCCATCTTGTGCCTTCACTAGAAAAAATAAACTGCTCCCTTCAATTCTTTATTTCATTTTAATAAACCATGGATTTTATTTCATGCTTTGCAAAGCATGAGAACTCACTGACATCCACTTTTAAAAATTAATTCCACAATTAACCTTTCTGAAGTCAAGTGAGGAATTTTGGGGGGGAGTCTCCCAGGGGCAAAGCCCTGTTCTGAGTATTGCAGGGAGGACAGAGAAACCAAGGGGTTTAATGACTTAGGAGGACTGGATCTTTACATGTGCACAGCTCTATCTATTAAGTACTAAACAAGTAACCCTGGCAGTAGCTGTGAGAAGAATTAGAGGGGGGAGAGGAACTCCCCGTGGGGTTGGGGAGGTCATGGAGAATGGAACTTGGCGCTGTGCTGGATTTGGCTAAGCAGCAGTAAGTACAAGGCATCCGAGCAAGGGGAAGACTGTGAGCAAGAACAGAGGTAGGCACGGCGACCAGCTCGGCCACAAGTCTGTGAAAAGGCTGAAAGGTGGCTAGGGCCACTTGAATTTCATCCTACCGGCAATGAAAGCTCCCAAAGGTTTAGGTCGGGGAAACAATGCAATAAAATCAAAGTTTTAGACTTTTGGATTAAGCGTGTAGGATGGATCCGAAAATCACTGCAATCTGCCGACGATCATCCATTGGCTTCCGAACGAATATTTGAAGTTTATTTTTAAAATGATTTTATTGCCAAGAAATATAAAACACCACTACTGTTTTGGTACAAAAACACAACAAAATGTGTTCAGAATTCCTCTTGCTGCTTTATGTAGACAAAGTTTTGAAAACCTAGCCTTGTCACACTGGTATCACCCCTGCTTCTGATTTAAAATAAATGTTCTAGATACACAGTAGGAGTTCAACAAATGCTTGCTCAACCAAAATAAGGAGAGCCAGCTTTTAACGTAAAGTAGGAAAACAGATCAGGAGCTGCCAACTGACTCCTCCAGTCTTAGTGAGGCCCTGTGAAAAAGAGCATCATTCTGGGAGCAAGATCTGAATTCTGGTCCTAGCTCACCCACGAGCAGGCTGGTGCTCTCAGGCAGATCACTTCTCTGGGGCTCAGTTTCCTCATCTATAAAATGAGATCAAATCCCACGTTGTAAGAGTATGTGCTCTGGAATCAGATCTGGGTTCTATCACTGCCAGCTCTGTGACCTTGGAGAGCTCCCCATCAGTCTCCCCATCTCTGAAATGGAGATAACAACAGTGACTCTCTCACCGGGTTGATGTGAGGGTTTAAAAGAAGTAACGTGTGTGAAATGTTAGCACATCGACTGATCTGTAGAAAACACCCTGTAAGCGTTAGCTACCCTGATTTCCGGTTCCAGAATTCTGTGGTCTGAGGTTACTCAACATGCAGTGATGGTTTATGGCAGGCTGTAATACGGCACAACCAAAGAACTCAGGAAATGGCTTGCTGAAGTGAACACCCGGAGAAGCCCTAAGAACTCTCTTCAAACACTTTAAAGACTGGCATGTAGAAGAAAAATATTTTGTTTCTATGCTTCTCCAAAGAATTTAATTAGGCTCAAGGGGTGATGTGGTACAAATTACTAACAATCTTAACTGTCTGCCAAATGGAATGAGCTGCTTCATGCTGCAGTAGTGAGTCCCCTGTCACTGGAAGCATCAAAACAAAAGCCAGATGACTATTAATGATCCATGTAAAGAGCTACATGAAATAAGATCTAAAAGTTCTTCCAATTTAGATTTTATGAAAGAAACTCTAAGGTCTTTGTGATGAGGCATCAAGGTTAACTAGGTTTTAAGAGATCAAGCCACAATCAGTATGTATACAAATTTTAGGAGTATAAGGGTTCATCTGCAATAAAAATGTTTTCTTTGCTTTTACAGTTTCCTCATTTGGCTGTTGGATTTTAAGCAAAAGCATCCAAGAAAAACAAGGCTTGTTCGAAAACAAGACAACTTCCTTTCACTGTTGCCCACCTTTGTTTGTATTCGACTAACACTCCCTACAGCAAAGTCTCCTCAAGTGCAATGAAACAAGGCTGGAGATAGATTTGATATTAAAAAATAAAGGACTAAAAACTTGTTTAAGAGGTAATTCAATAGTTTTCAATAATTATGTCTGCTTTCATTAAAGGTGATAATATCAATATTTTCTTGGTTGCAAACACATAAAGTTTTGGTTCAATTTTATTGACAATTCTTAGATTCTTTCTAATGCTTAATAAAATGTGCTACTCAGTTAACGCTTGTTCACGTCAACTGAGCATGTAATACCAATAGGACAATGAAGAACTCACTTATATCTAGTCCTTGCAGACGCAATGCTTTTATTCCAGCAGTTTTACAAGGCAGCCAGCATTCCCTGCACACTTTCTGAGTTGCACTGCAGGGAAAGAGGTTATAGCCAGCAGTGGGGTGGGGGATGCATTGCCACAGGATTAAAAAACTAGTTCTCGGACCTTAAGGAAATCATGTAAATTTCCATGGTCTGGGTTCCCTCATGTGTAAAAATAGAGCGTAGACTTCAACCTCTAAGATCTCCTCCAATTTTCACATTCTTAAGATCTATGTAAAAAAAAAAAAATCATGAGTGATTTCATGCGAGATGCCAGCAATACAGTCATTCCTTTGAGTAGCACCTTAATCATGAGGCAATATTCGAAACATACAGCCAACGCAGATAACGACATACAGCCAACGCAGACAACGACGACTGATAAGGAAAAGTTACACACATTTAAATCACCCAAGATATATTTTGTGTTTAACCTAGGGCTAATTGTAGCATGTCTTATGAAAGGCGTTTCAAGCTGTAGTTCTGAAGAATATGTATCCCACTTTGCCAAGCTGGGGAACCTGAGGGGACGAGAGAGTTCCAAAGAGGAACAGACTATGAGAGTTAGTTCCTAGTAGTTACTGTTTGTAACTATGTTGACCTTGCTGATGAATTGTGAGCTTAGTGGTTCAGCACACAGATAAAATGAAACATGGAATCCAACAGAACAACAAAGAAATGGTCAAGAGACAAGTGTCCAGTCCCTGTCCTTTTCCTCTTTCCTTCGACTGTGGATGTGGAGGGACTGTCAGTGTCCCACCAGAACCACACGTCACAGCTCGAATCAGTTACACCCCTTACCCCCTGAATCAGCAGCACAACGGAAGAACTTCCCACAGAAGGGACATGAGGAGCCTGGTGGCTGGACCGTGGGGCTTCTCTCTTCCAACACGCCCTCTCACCTCTGGGGAGACCCTCAAAAGCTACTTAATGCTAATGTTTACAGAATGTGTAGCAAAACCATAGAAACCGAACACCAAGTATAGTGAGAAAGAATTTTGACCACTGAATAGTTTTTAAAAACAAGAAAATGTTTATATGTCATTTAACATTTGACACAGAAGAGGCCACAAATAAACATGTTAAATCTTCAGAGCACTTTCACTGCAGTTCTGGACCTCAGATATGAGAAATATTCACACTGACGAATCCATGATGTCTTCTGTAATTTCCTATTTTAACATATTACATACCATGATAAAACTCGACAAAATTACTCTGTGAAAGCTTCCTTTAACATTTTATAAGTTAATCAAGTGCATACCACAATAGATTTGTTATTGTTTAAATAGAGAGTTCTCATGATTTTAGTATTACACAACTGTAAGCTGAGACTGCACTCAGAAATAGGTTTAGAAAATGGCATTACAAAAGATTGGGAGTGAGCAGTAAAAAAAAAAAAAAAAAAACCCATGCAGGGCTACTGTGCTGCAGGAAATCAGATGTTTTCACTGCCATAAGTCTTCAGTGCGGCCAAACTTAAAAACCAGTCCTCTGTGAATAAAACAAGAAATATCACATGACTACCTGAATCTGGGAAAAGAAAGAATATGTGAGGTTTTGAGAATGGGAAATAAGCGACAAAGAATAATTGATGAATCGTATAAAAAATTTTGATACAGAATATATCAAAACAGAAACTGATCATCTAAGGCAGTGAACTCTTCCATCGTGCTCAGCTGTGGTATTTACTGCCATCTTTCCCACAACCTTAACTCTAGAGTACTGAAGACACATGTGACTTTTACAAAGTTAACCAATGTTTAGCATGTAACCATCATGTGTCTGATTTTATCAAATTCATTCAACAAACCTTTTTTGAGCGTCCTCATGTGCTAGGTGCTAGGGCTGCAGGATAAATAACCCTTGCCTCGAATGAATTGCTCACATTCTTGATAACCTAATGTGGTTTAAGTACTGGGGGTGGGGGTAGGGAAAGAGGCATATATACCGAGTGTTAAGCATAGAAACACAGAATCTGCCTGAACGAGTTAGAAAAGGATTTAAAGAGGTGGTAATACTGGAGACAGGCTTTGATGGATTAACAGGAGTTTGAATGGGAAGTTGGTAGGAACAAGAGCTAGTGGGATGATGAAGGAAGATGTTTCAGAGAGCGGAAACAGTACATCAAGGGGCAAAGAGGCATAAAAAACCCAGGGGCTCTAGAAAAAGCCCAGGAGGTTGGTATATGTCCAAGAAATACGCCCTCGCAGAGCTTACTGTTAGGCTTTAGGTGACGGAGTACCTACAGTTGTCCTCAAGGCTTCAACCTAAGAGCAGAGGGCAATCATATGCATAAAAAAAGCTATCTGAAGTGTTGTAGAACAGGGAAGAGTCCACCAGGGCTAGATTACAGCTCAAGGGACGAGGGGGACAGGCAACGCAGGCAGCCAGGCTTCAGAAAGCCAATTGCCCCGGGTGGCAAATCACCCACAAGTGCCTCAGTGAGTTAAGAGCCTGCGTGCTCTATCCAGGGGCAGCTGGCACTCAGTCCCAGGCAATGAATGAAATGGGGCCACGCAGAGAGGTAGCCCCTATTCGGCTCCAGCTGACTGTTGATGGGAGGGGCCTGAGGTTGTCAGATCTTTCCGTTTTTTCAAGAAAAGCCAAATTCGTATTTTTATGTCAAATCTCTTGGCTTTTAAATGTTGGTGCAATAAAATAGAAAATACTATATAGGCTAAATAAAACAGAACTGTGGGCAGAGTTTGGCTGATCCGCCACCTGTTTTAATCTCTTTCGTGGACAGCTCAGAGTTTCGAAAGATTTGAAGACAGGAAATAATAGGATTAGAATTCTGTTTTAGAAGGAAAACTGACAGCGGGAAAACCATCAGAAAGAGGATGAGGGCCAGGAGTGGTGGCTCCCTCCTATACTCCCAGAACCATAGGAAGCCAAGGCAGGAGAAGCCCTTGAGGCCAGGTTTTCAGACCAGCCTGGGCAACATAGCAGGACTCAGTCCCCATCTCTACAAAAACAAACATAAGAAAAATTAGCCGGGGCTGGGCGAGATGGCTCACACCTGTAATCCTAGCACTCTGGGAGGCTGAGGAGAGAGCCTCCTGAGGCTGAGCTCAGGAGTTCAAGACCAGCATGAGCAACAGCGAGACTCATCTCCACTAAAAACAGAAAAATTAGCTGAGCGTTGTGGCGCACGCCTGTAGTCCCAACTACCTGGGAGGCTGAGGCAGGAGGATCACTTGAGCCCAGGAGTTTGAGGTTGCTGTGAGCTATGATGACGCCACTACACTCTAGCTGGGGCAGTGATGGAGCAAGACTCTGTCTCAAAAAAAAAAAAAAAAAGCCTTAGAAAAATTAGCTGGAAAGTAGTATTGCACTCCTGTAGTCCCACCTACTTTGGAGGCTGAGGCAGGAAGACCACTTGAGCCCAGGAGCAAAAGCTGCAGTGAGCTATGATCACACCACTGTACTCCAGCTAGGGTGATAGAGCAAGACCCTATCTCAAACAAACAAACAAACAAACACACACAAAAAAAAAAACAAAGAGAGGATGAGACCAGAGGCAGAAGGAAGAATGAGTTAGGGATGAGAACTGCTCAGACAAAGGATGATGACTGAACATAAACAATGGAAATGAACAAAAAGAGAACAGGTTTCAGACCATCCAGAGGCAGATTCAACAGGGCTTGGATGCAGGGGGTGAGTGTGAAGGAGAAATTGAAGACAGACATTTCAATGGCATACACTGTTTTTTATTTTGTCATCTTGTCTGTTTTCCAATTACCAGCACATACTCAAGTCCGCAGTTATAATGATCAATTTAAAATGGCTTCATAAGGTAAATGCTTCAGTGGTGGTTTTTTTTAAATGAAAACAAAAATGCAACCAGGAAGTTGTCTGGTACCCCCTTCTTGGAAGTATATTAATTTCTCCTTATAAAGGATTTAATAAACCTCCAAAAGGTGATTTGATCTCTGCTCTTCTAGTTAATATCAGACCCACTGCTATAAAAAAGAAAAACTGAAGTTGGTTCTTCAGATAGTTTCAAAGAGACATAGTAACTTCAGAACACTAGTCGACAGATGTGAACTGTAATCTGAAGAGTTTCTTGGGCAAGAGCCAGTCCCACCTACACTGTCAGATGGTCACCTGTCTATTCTGGTTTCTGAAATAGTGATTTCTAAGCTGTTGCTGAGCACCATTCTGCTATAAATCAGAATAGCAGACAATCTGCTACAACTATTCTCATAACAGTGTCCGTTAGTTAAATTTAATTTTAATTTGTTTATAGTCAGTCCAAGATTATTTTTTCAAGATTAGTATTCTCACAAAACCTAATTAGTTTTTAGATTTAATAGGTATAACAGTAATAAATGAGAAACTAACCGAACTTGTTACACATAAAAGCAATTTATTATAGGTAACGCGCAGTAATGGCAAGTCAGTGATCAGTTTCCAAGGTTTTATGAAATGTGATAAGTACCGTATGAAGTTATATTTCTCCTTTTCATTGGAAGACATAAAATTTGCCCACAAATCTTCCTCTCTCAATTCTCTTCCTCTCTGCTGTAACATATTACCTTTTCTGCCAAAAGCAGCGCCTCAAAGTGGAACT